AAGTGCTGTGAGCGAACCTGCAATCCTTCCTTGACACTTCATGCTGCAGAAACTGGGATAGGCTTGGGCACTGTAAAGCCCCATGACTTGAGTGCCGACTTTTGTAAATGCATTTCTTTTAATGTAGATAAAGTCTGTTTACGAGCCTAGTGGTCCATTAGGCTGGTGCTTAACTCCAGTTTATGTAGCATGAAGTGACTAGGAGTATTTCTACTCCCCCCTAGATGGGATGCCAGTCCATCGCAGGGTTATCTCCAGTATTAAATTGCCGGTACCCATTTATACACCTGGGTGAAAAGAGGCACTGTGAGAGAAAAGTGTCTTGCCTAAGAACACAACACAATGTTCCGGCCGGGGCTCGAACCCGGACCACTCAATCCGAAGTCGAGCGCACTAACCATGAGGCCACCGTGCCTCCACTTTCTTTTAATGTAGTGCATAGATATTCATCACACTTATAAGGGGAAGAAGCACTTTTTTCTTGCATATTTTAAGTTTAATTGATTTTGGGATCTTGTTTATTTATTTGATGCAGGACACCTAGAAAAACTATTAGCAGATAAGAAACTGGAGGAAGAGAAGAGGAAAGAGTATGAAAGTGTCATTGGCCAGGTAATGTGGTTTTTAGAAAGTTAAGCAGATAACTCATTAACTTGTTGTTTATGTGATACTTAGCCTGCAGGGGCTTGACTTTTATGCGTTGTCAGGTGAACTAAGGCAGGTGCTAAGGGTGTAAAGTGTTAACAAGTGAGGTGGCTTTTTTCTCCTTAGATTGATAACTATGGAATGAAAGAACTGGGGGAGCTTTTGAAAACGTACAATGCCAAGTCTCCAGTAACAGGGAATGATCTGACGGATCCTGTGGAGTTCAATTTGATGTTTTCAACCTCAATCGGTCCCAGTGGGCTCATCCCTGGGTAAGGGCCATCTTAACATGGGGCTTTCTCCCTGCTGTAAAAAGCTTCCATCAATTTTTTTAGCTGATATACTCATACTGGGATGGTTTTGAATGGATTTCTGTAAAGCTAAACTCAAAGTGATCATAGAGGCCAATCACAACAAATTAAAGGAAAACGTCACAAGGAACCGATAAGAGGTCAAACTATTTACACGTGACTGCCCTTAAGGGCTGGAAAACACATGATTTCTTTGGGATTGTTTTATCTCTGTATCGGATTGGTTAAAATGGTGTTGTGGGATCTTTCAGACCAGTCATAGAACATAGAGGTAAAAGATATTTCAGATTTCTTTTGAAATCCAATAAAAAATTGTTAAATGTCTCCTATTGTATCTTCTTATTTTTTTTTTCTTATTTTTTCTTTTATTTTTTACAGCTTCCTCAGACCAGAAACAGCTCAAGGAATCTTTGTGAATTTCAAACGCCTCTTGGATGCTAATAACGGAAGACTACCATTTGCCTCAGCACAGATTGGACCTGCTTTTAGAAATGAAATTTCACCTCGATCTGGTCTTCTGAGAGTAAGGTAAAAAACAAGAGCACAACATGCATCTGTTCTGGTGATTTCCCTTAACTCCTAGAAGTGATTAACATGTAATTTCTTGCCACAATATCCCTACATTATCCAGGAAACAGGTAGTGAGAATACTCAAACTTATAAGGTAGAAGATGTTATCTTGACCTAACACTAAATTCTCATAAAGAATTTACAGGGTAGTGTGAAGCAGTTACAGGAGAGAATTAACAATCAGATCTTTGCTAAATATTGGAATCCTGACAATGGCTTTCTTGCATTCATCTAAAACTCTACTCCCTCCATAACTGAAGTTACAGTTTTAGTTTCTGAATAGGACAGGATTGATTCATATGACAGTGACCTGTGACAAATTCCAGCTGAGTCCTTCTAGCTCTTTTTTAACCAGGTTACCCACTCTTCCATCATCTACTCTCTGACCAGTGCTAATCCTTTGAGTCTGAAGAGTGACTAGCATCTAATTTCTCCTTACAATATCACCCCTGAATCACACATTAAGGTCACGAGAAGAAAAGCAATGATCATCAACTAAGGAAAGCTCTTGATTGTTAAAAAAGTCCTCTCTCTCAGACCCTTTGGAAATGTATGAAGAGCAGTATGGAGAATATGCATACAATTGCTAGGATACTGTTCATAATGAATAAATCTTCTTCGTCGATCAACGTAGTAATTATGTAGAAAGTGTACGTATTTTATTATATGATGGTCTCCCTATTCT